GTTGGTGGTTTGAGTATTGGTGTACCGTAAGTAATATTTGCTTTATTTAAATGCTCTTGAAAATCGTTACAACGAATTGATTTATATAATTTTTTTTTTAAAGTGGTGAAATAAATTAAATACTGATTGAATTGCTAGGTATGGTAAACGTCTTTTCGAGCCTATCAATTTCGGACACCCTTGTCAAGAACGTAACCACCCCAAAGAATAAAAATCAATTAACAAGTATTTAAGAGTAGGTGCATTCTTGATAGGGTGTCCGAAATTGATGACCAAAACCTGTAATATGTGCTGCAACGGCACATAGATAAAAATTATCATCTTTATTGCATTACTAACTGTTTTTTTTTTTTTTCATTAGATGTTTCGTGCGATACTGTAGTTGTAAATAATCCACAATTATCTGAAATCTATGCTCCAAATGGTAACATGTTAAAAGAAGGTCAAATTCTTCATCGAACTAAGTACGCTAAGACTCTAGAAACTATTACACTAATTCTATAAGGTGCACTATAAAATTTGTTTATAAATTTTTTTGAAATCTTTATTTCTCTATTTTTCGTTTCTTACATGTTATATACTATTATTGTTATTTTTTTTTCTTTTTTTTACACAGGGTTCAATCGCAAAGTCAATGATAAAAAGAGTCAAAGCTACTGGTGGCATTATGACTCTCAAGGATTTAGAAAATTACCGTCTTCGTGTGTGACCTCTCGTTAGATTTTATCATGATCGAAAGGTACGAGTAATTTGAGATTTTTTTATAATTTGAAGTTCAATGTTGTAGCAGCTTGTTAAATCTATTATTCACTATGTAAAAGATCGTGACGGCGCCAGAACCGGCAAGTGGGACCATATTAATATTCTTATTGAACATCTTGGAAAAATACGATTTGAAAACTAATTAACAGTCTTAATTTAATACAGTAGGTATTTATTATTGTTTATTAATGTTTAATTAAGGAACGTCATATTTTTTGGGTTAATGTGAATTTTATTGGTATTTTTTTTTTTTATTTTAGAATTATTGGAACATTAAAATTAGGTAGTTTGTATTTTATACATTTATATTAAGAGAATTATTGTAATAACATTCTTGTAATTTGATTCGGTTATGCGAGACAGACTGAATTGGGTGATGCGACATTTGTAAATACGAATTTAATAAGTCCGTATAATATATCATTATTCACATATAAATAGATAACTTACCTTTTACTTTTTTTTTTCCAAATTAAAAGTTTGAGAATAAAGCTGAACATTAAGGATAGTAGAAATTATTTCAAAAGAATACGCAGATTTAGTGCGACTCAACGTATCTGATGTAAGTAGTGTTTCGAATAGAGTTTTGATTTGTTATATGTTAAACCCGGGTTTAATATGAAATATGAATTCGGTTCTAACTCTCGAAGCTCATTTTCGGATTTAAAAAAAGCTTCGCCAGAACTATTGTTAGTCGTGGATCATTCACTTTTTTGTTTAAAAAATAAGCAACTATTAAAATTAATAGTATATATATATATATGTTGTGCCTCAGATTAATGCTTGCGTCAGATGTCAACTTTTTGGCCCGCATTAACTGATCGATATTGATTGACTTAAATTAAGCCCAAATCCTTCCCAGATTCTTACCCTAACCCTAATCTAACTTAGGCCGGTTTTAATCTGACGCAAGAATTGATCTGAGGCACGACATATATATATATAATATATTTTAATATCATTTCCGATTTACTTAATTTAATAGAATGAAACGTTCGATCCCGATTATTATAATCCTGTATATGAACCTATAGATGATGGAACGTCACATTTGTCTGTTGTTGATGCAGATGATATGGCTGCCTCTGTTACTTCTTCAGTAATATTTTAAAATAGGTTAACAGGCCATAGGGAGCACAAGTAATGAATCCCGATACAGAAATTCTATTTAATGACCAAATGGATGACTTTTCAGTACCTGAAAGCCAGATATATTTGATTTGCCACCATCTCCTTACAATTTTATTGGTGATTATCATTTTTATTTAATTATTATGATATAACATTATTCGTATATATCTTTAATATGGTTTAATTTTTTTTTATAAAGAACCTGGAAAAAGACCACTTTCACCAATGGCTCGATAATTGAAAAAAACGGAAGAGAATAATTTCATCTATATTACAGGTATTCATTTTAAAAACTGAAAAAATCGTTCATTTTTTATGTTGGTTAACATTTGTAATTTTATAATTTTATAATTTAGATTATATTAAAATATGTGATTTATACTTGTTATTTAATGGATATCAGTGGATACGGTGTATTCCACAGAATAATAGTAAAATCACGTGGCCGAAGGCCATGTGGTTTACTATTATTCTGTGGAATCAGGGACCCGGAAAAATATCGATTTGATTTGGGCAAAATTTATATCGATTTGGTCAAAAATATCGGTTTATATCGATTTGCCTAATCAACCAATCAGAATGCAGGATCAGGAATAACGTGATCAGGGCCCGAAAAAGAGCCGAAACAATTTTCGGCCGGTAATTTTTTCGGCATGGTCGGTATATAAAAAATATATTTTTGATCTCATTTACTGTAATATTGATATAACATCTATGTCATAAATATATTTTTGAATTCGTTCAATCTTAATTTACTGTAATATTGATATAAGCGTTCAATTTTTATTTACTGTAATATTGATATATAATATCTACGTCTAAATTACATTTTTGGTCCAATTTCAAACATCATAATAAATATAATATCTGTTCTACGTACAAATAATTTTATTATTATATAACATTATTAAATTTCATTTGAACGCTTGCCCAATATGTTCAACAAGAGATGTGCGTAATTTTTTATTTATATTAGCCACCTGATTTTAAATTATGTATATATTACATTATATCAATTTTTATTGATGAAAAAATTACTGGCCGAAATTTTGTAATAATAATAATAAACATCTTAAAAAAATAAGTAAATCAATATCAAAATATATAAATTGTATTTATTTATATAGTATGGCTCCTAAAAATTATCGATTATAATACATCATTGTAAGAGCACGAAGCGATTCCTTGCTAAGATTTTGTCTATCATCATCCAAAATTTTGTTATATGCAGAAAAGCTTCGCTCTACACTGCAAGATGATATGGGAAGCCAAATGTAATCTAAAGCAATTTCACTTAACAAAGGTAACTGATGGGAAACCTTACTCCAAAACTCATCTAGGGTATGAAATTCAATCATAGAAAGATTAATATTACAGTAAACCGCCCACTCTTGTACTAAATCAAATGAAGGGTTTGCTAATTCATGTATATGAGAATAAGAAGAAATGTTGTGATTAATAGTAGAAAGTAAAATAAAACGAGAATCAAAAATATGGGTTTCTTGAAATAAAGGATGTGTGGAATGTTTACTAATATGATCACAAAATTTATTATAGACAGCTTGATACGCGGAGCGAAATATAGAAAAAAATAAACCAGTTTCTGTATTAAGCTTATTAAATACCTCACGCACAGATTGAACTATATCTGCTAAAGATCTCCCCATATTAATTGTACTTTCTAATTGTTCAATTTGGCTTTCTATAAATGGAAACACTGGTAAATTTTCAGTTTGAAAAAAGTCTAAATCTCATATAAACTGTTGGCTATAATTTTTAATAAATGTTAAATATATCTATACACGCCCATATTCTTGCTGATCATTAAGAATCGCTACGATTTTTTCAATTGCGGGGGAGGTGTTTTCTTCATGCTCTTTAGTATAAAAATCTCAGATTAATTGTAAGTGTTCCTCTACATAAAATGCCATTTTAAACCATGAGTTCCAACGCGTTGCATTGGGCAATGGAATATTTTTCAGACGGGAAACTCCATTTAGACACAAAAATCCAATGTATCTTGTACATCGACTTTTTGAATGAATTAAAGTTTTTTTGATTTCTGCCAATAATTTATGAATAACACTGAAATGTTCAATGGATATCCAAGCTTCACTAAATTTTTTTTTTAAAAAATAATATATAATCGATTTAATTTTATTAAATAATACATAAAATTTTACATATATCTTTTTTTTTTTTTTTTTTATTATACAAATACAGTAAATAAAAATTTTAATTTAAATAATCCCATCACTATACTAACCTAATTAAATTTAGAATATGCGCCAAACAAGTTTGGTGCATTATTTGAGGCATAATCGGCTTGAGCACTTCACAAACATACTTCTTCATATATGATGCCGAATCTGATACAATTAATCGCGTATCATTAAATGAAATATCCCAGTCAACCAAGGTACAAACAATTAATTGACCTATAGTTGAATTGTTCACTATATCTAGATAATCCACAACCACCAACTTAGTTAATTTGCGATAGTTAAACAAAACGTTAACAATGCTTTGTGCTCTACTATCAGTCGTTTCATCAATGATTACTGAAACCCTTTTGCCACTAAACATTTGTTTAATTGTAACTAAATAGTTCTCAAAAATTCCAGGAAGGTATTCACGACGCAATGTATCGGCTGAAAGAATGCTACCACCTTCATGCAAATATTCTCTTAACTATGGTCTAAGCTTGTCCACCTTTCCTAGGAGAATATCAGCCTGAACAAATGCACGGACCAAATCATTAATTGTGCCCTTTTAAATTCATTTGTTTCGACAACTGAGTTTAAAGTGGGTTGCCTGGTTTTACTTGAAGAAGAAGTGCTTTTGCTTTTAAATTTCTATGTGTATTTGTATTGATATGAGCCGTAATAGTTGCCTTGGTATTCCAATTCACAGAATGGTAACAAAATCGACACATCAAGATACCAGCATCAGCAACAAAGTTGTCTGGAAATTCTTGCACACGAGAATATGCGGTAATTCGTTTGAAGGGCATTTTATTTGCCTAGGCTTCAAAAAAAAAAAAAAAAAAAAGAATTAAAAAGAGCTTTTATAAAGAAAAAAAAAAGTTTTGCTCCTTACAAGACAAATGACACACAAGTTCTAAATCAAAAAAACTTTTTTTTTTTTTTAAAAAAAAAAAAAAGAAAAAAAAAAGTTTTCTTCTAATTGTAAAAAAAATCGTGAAAAAGTCTTTTATAATAGGAGATTATCACAATACACAAGCTTGAGTCAATAAAATTTGGCCTGCTCTATCCATAATTCTGGCTGCCAATATTGTGTAATGTTACACTACAGAAAATTTTGTAAAAATATCGATTTACTCATAATTTGACCCAAAAATATCGATTTATATCGATCTAAATAAATCAAAATTTTTTCGGGTCCCTGTGTGGAATACACCGTATCTACTGATATTCATCAAATAATTAGTTTATTCTATGGGTATGACATAACAACCCGTGCAACCTCTTTAATCCTGATAAATGAATTAAGGGATTTCATGACGTAATGATAAGTATTTAAATAAATTTTTTTTCATTTATGCTTTTTCGTTGTTATCGTTCATTAACTACAAAAAATTTTTGATCTATTACTTTGTACTAGCAAAATATTTTAAGATCTTTTACTTTAACCAAGAATCCTAAACCTTTCACTTAGAATAGCAAGAGAATTTTAAAGCCTTTCTAAATAGTACTAGTGAGTAATTTGCTTTAAATAATATGTCAACCAAAAGAATTTTAAAAAATACTATCATAACAACCAACAAAATTTTAAAAACCTATCATCGTTAATGATACTATTGCATCCCTTATGAGAATTTTAGTCAGCAAAAAGAATTTTAAAACTTTCGCAAAATATATTCATTCAGCAAAAAACTTTTTCAAAATCTTTGCTTGTCTCAATATTCAAAAAAAAAAAACTATTGTAAAAACCTTTTGCCCGCAAAAATATATATGATTACATTAACCAAAATAATTTTAAAAACCTTTCGTACTAATGTACTATCGCACCAACCAAAAGAATTTTAAATCTTTTTATTCTAAATAGTACTATTGTGCTAGCTGCAAATAGTATTATCGTACTGGCCAAAAGAATTTAACTCTTTCGCCCTAAATAGAACTATCGTACAAAGAAAAAATTCGCTCTAAAGTAATATCATGAGAATTTAAAATCTTTCGTTTAAGTATTTGAAAAAAAAATAACAAATAAAAATAGTACTTTCACCGATGTAGCGATAAAACCAGATATTAAAATTATTTTAGTTATTAAATTATTTTGATAACTACTATAACTTAAAAAAATTCTCACCGGTCTATATGAAAATTATATGATTTTCATATAGACCAGTAAAAATAATCTAGGAAAAAAAGCACGAGTTGTTACATAGTACCCATGGAATAATAACATAAATCTTGTAAATGCTATTAATTCACCAAAATTTCATTAGCAATTATTACCTAATATGGTGAAGTTTCTTTTTTTCTTCATTACAATAATTTTTTAATTAATGAAAATACAATTATATATTAATAAATGAATTTATACATTAGGTATATGTATAATCTGGATTTTCTTTTGACTTTATAAGGCATTTGTTAGATATTCATCATGTTGTAAGTATGATATTAAAATTTAATATTTGGAATAAGTCAAATAGAAAAATAACTTGCTTTTAAAAATAGGTACAAATACGTAATATCAATAGTAAAGAATCTTCATCTCAAATTCAGGCAATTAGAAAATGGAACCATTTATGTTATGATAAATTTAACTTTATTTGTATATTTAAATTATTTCTTGTTGAAAAATAAATTATGAATTGTAGTGGTAAATAATTTTAGAAAACAGGGACTTGCAGCTGGATATAAATCATATTAATTAAATTCTATAGATGTTAGTATAAATAAAGACATTATATATTGTTGAAAATTTAAATATTATTATTAAAAAAACTATCATTGGAAAAAGCTTGTTATCAGTTAAGTAATAATTAATTCAAAAAAAACAAACTTTTTTTTTTTTTTTTTTTTTTTTTTTTTTATATTTTAGCAGTCTTGCCTTTACTTTATTAGGCTTTATAATATTATACTATGAAATATTAAAAAATTTTTCAAGAGGCTATTTCTCTTGACACCTAAATTACAAGTATTAGCTTACCCGGTTATTCAAAGAACACCTATATGCGACCTGCTATAGTAAGTTTTACCTCCATATTA